TACAACACTGGCTACCCGAACATTTTAGTTTAAAATTATTATTCAATCGTGTTCATGTTCTATGCTACTTTTGTATTGTGAAAAATGATATAGGTGTATGTTTTTTTGGTTAGTAGAATTGGAATGCCTGTACGAAACACACCCATAATTATTGCTATTAACATTTTTTACATGCGTTTTTCTGGATTTTGTTGTTGTTGTTATTCTGTCTCTCACTGTTCAAATAAACCTACCATTAAAATTATAGACTGATCATTTCTTTGTCAGTGGGAAAACGTACAAATTCAGCAGGGGATCAAATACTTTTTTTCCCCTCACTGTAAGTGGTTGCAAATGATGATTGATGGGACAAGCATTGACAGGGTCGCGTGAGGGGAAGCATGGGACCCAACGGCCGTAAAGTGTAATAAGAGCAGAGATCGACAGGGCCAGGTGCGGTGAGAGAGAGTTCGGGAATAGGGGCGTGGCCGGGTCATGAGAGGGATAAGAGCCGGCGCGAACCGGACCTCGTGGCTGTTGTGGGGAATCATCGTCGCCGTCGCCACCTTGGAACGGGTCTTCCTCAACATCCTGGAGTCGGCACCGTGGAGTCTTGAAAGGCTGGAGTTACGTTGTCTCAGAATAGAGTTGTATAATTACCCAAGTCTAGTCACTCACAGTTACTCGTTAAGTTGTCAGCGGACTTTATTCGTAATAAATATACATCAAGAACAAGACGGTGCCTCTGAGAGCTACATTACATAAGTAAAGGCACAAAGCGTTGTTCCAATTCATGGGGACTGTGCTGGCAAAATCCCGATCACCCCAGCAAGACCAGAGCCTTGACCTCGGAATACTGAGCAGAAGGCGATCCGAATATCTCCGAGACCTCGTTGGAGTATAATCCCCGAATAACTTATAGTTTAACACGTATGCTTTCACACCATTGGTACCTCATTTGCCAGTAAAAAATATAATTGTTTTTTTACCCTCTTATCTGGCAACAAAACTGACACCTTTTTTACAAGGAGTCATGTTTGCATAGACCACAATACCTGCAGTCATAATGCAAACAAAAAACATAACTCTGATAATGTATGCGCTGTCCTTGAAGTTGATTGGTCCACACCCGAGACAGCTTTCCTTAGAGCCTAGTCTCATGGGTTGGACCAGATGACACCAAAAGGCGCACAACTCAATGACAATGCACCATCAGAGTATGAGTGTTCGGGTAAGCATTTACACCATTGGTACCTCATTTGCCAGGGGTACCAATGGTGTAGATGCTTACCCCGAGCTCTCATACTCTGATGGTGCATTGTCTTTGAGTTGTGCGCCTTTTGGCGTCATCTGGTCCAACCCATGAGACTAGGCTCTAAGGAAAGCTGTCTCGGGTGTGGACCAATCAACTTCAAGGACAGCACATACATTATCAGAGTTATGTTTTTTTTTGCATTATGACTGCAGGTATTGTGGTCTATGCAAACATGACTCCTCGTAAAAAAGGTGTCAGTTTTGTTGCCAGATAAGAGGGTAAAAAAACTATTATATTTTTTACTGGCAAATGAGGTACCAATGGTGTAAATGCTTACCCCGAGATCTCATACTCTGATGGTGCATTGTCTTTGAGTTGTGCGCCTTTAGGCGTCATCTGGTCCAACCCATGAGACTAGGCTCTAAGGAAAGCTGTCTCGGGTGTGGACCAATCAACTTCAAGGACAGCGCATACATTATCAGAGTTATGTTTTTTTTGCATTATGACTGCAGGTATTGTGGTCTATGCAAACATGACTCCTCGTAAAAAAGGTGTCAGTTTTGTTGCCAGATAAGAGGGTAAAAAAACTATTATATTTTTTACTGGCAAATGAGGTACCAATGGTGTAAATGCTTACCCCGAGCTCTCATACTCTGATGGTGCATTGTCTTTGAGTTGTGCGCCTTTTGGCGTCATCTGGTCCAACCCATGAGACTAGGCTCTAAGGAAAGCTGTCTCGGGTGTGGACCAATCAACTTCAAGGACAGCGCATACATTATCAGAGTTATGTTTTTTTTTGCATTATGACTGCAGGTATTGTGGTCTATGCAAACATGACTCCTCGTAAAAAAGGTGTCAGTTTTGTTGCCAGATAAGAGGGTAAAAAACGATTATATTTTTTACTGGCAAATGAGGTACCAATGGTGTAAATGCTTACCCCGAGCTCTCATACTCTGATGGTGCATTGTCTTTGAGTTGTGCGCCTTTTGGCGTCATTTGGTCCAACCCATGTGAGACTAGGCTCTAAGGAAAGCTGTCTCGGGTGTGGACCAATCAACTTCAAGGACAGTGCATACATTATCAAAGTTATGTTTTTTTTATGCATTATGACTGCAGGTATTGTGGTCTATGCAAACATGACTCATCGTAAAAAAGGTGTCAGTTTTGTTGCCAGATAAGAGGGTAAAAAACAATCATCACGTATGCTTTCGCGACCAATATCATCCATAATACAGGTCTCCAACACACCGGTGTGCTGTACTAGTGTAGTGAGTCCAACTGAGTCGAAGACGTTGTCTTGGGAGCAACACTATTTATTTCACCAACTGAACACACAACATAACATAACCTACACTTGGGTGTTGAACACCCATCTAACCACGCTACGGCAGAACTAGACACGGTTCGCTATCCCAGTCCGGACCACAAGCTGGGTCCCAGACCGCGTGGCTAGAGGCTTCTTCAAGCCGACGTGGATCTTCGTCACCAACAACCCCAAGAACCCCGAGCCCCTCACGGGGCCCCCGTTATATCGGCCTGGGCTGGGGCTGGATCCGCCCCTCGCCCCGCCCACCTTCTAGATCTCTCGAGCTCTTTCCCGAAGGCTCCCGAGAGCTCCTTTAGACCACGTGACCACCCAGCGGCCCCCGTCCACCGGTGGCCCCCTTCCAATATCATCTGGTCATGTGTCGGCAGGTCAACCAGCGTATCATGCCCCAACGTAACCCTGGCTGGCTGACACTCCCTCTCGCTCCCTCAACGGGAACCTGCACCGCACACTGTATGTGGTGCCTCCACGCTGACCAGCGCTCACCCAAGCCTCGCTAGGGCTGGTACTACGCCCAGTAACCGGATTGCACATAATGACAACATATTATCCACCATGGCTTCGCAAGCCTGGCACCACACAATAACATTCACAGTCACTACACTAGTAACGAATTAGCATGTTCTGTTTACGCGATACACCTTACTATTTGGCTCTATCGGGTAGTGGCGGGTTTAACGACACATGAATATTTACGCGATCTAACCCAAAAAAAACTCTGTATTATAGTTTATTTAGTTTGTTGCCCTTACCCCATACCTCCGATTAGCAGTTGACAACGTGCTGTTTGAAAGAAGTTCAACATACATAGGTACAGTATTGGTATGTTTTGGTCAATACCGGTTATAGTGCAGTGTTATTCGGTAACTGGTTGTGAACCGGTAACCGGGTTACATCCGGTAACCGGTGTTATAATATACTAGAACTATTTAATATTATACCAAGTAAGCCCCATTGAGATATAGAGTACAGCTGTTTTTCAGAAGTGACCAGGCTTTCACAAACGATAGCTAAAAAGCGGACTTGATCATAATGTGGACATTTATAGTAGCAGCCGAATACTGTAACTCTAAAACGTGTGATTTTGATTCTCAATGTGGAGGTGAAAAAAAACAGAGAAAATTCCACGCGACCACGGGGAGAGAGAGACACCGCAAACTCCACATTTACAGCAGGCGTCAGGATCGGGATCGAATCCATGACCTCCTTATACTAAGCGAGGAAGTTAACATCTCGCCACGGTACCCAGTTTCAAAGAATTTGCCCCGCCATGCGCTGCGGTGGCTATGAGATGTTAACTACTTCGCCTGGTATACAAGAGGGGTGTGGGTTTGATCCCGACCATTATGCCTGCTGTATATTTGGAGTTTGCATGTCTTTCCCTCATCATCATCACGGTGGCTAGATGTCAACTACCTCGCCTAGTATACAGGAGGTCGTGGGCTCAATCCCGACCCAGACACCTGCTGTATATTTGGAGTTTGAGTGTCTTTTTCTCCGTGGTCGTGTGGATTTTCCTCCGGGTCCCTCTGGATTTTCCTCCCTTCACATTCATAATAATCAACATCACTCATTTAGAGCTATTTGGCTGCACATATAAATTTCCACACAGTGATAAGGCACTAACTTCGTTGAGCAATCATTTGTGCTAGCCAGGTCGCATCTGGAAAAAAGCTAATATATAGCTCAGTGGTGGGCCCTTCCGTGGTTTAAAACAATATTAAAAGTTGAGTTTGTTTACCGGCAACGCAGTCAATCAAAGCGAGGCGGAGAGCGAACGCCGCGTTTTTAAATTCGCTGCACAGAGCCGAAATAACTCTCATGCCACAATAGAGGTGTTTGTGTGTCATTAAACCCACCACCACCCGACACAGTCAATTAATGCTGGTTGTTGTTGCTATAATTACCGGAGAAACGTCACGGTTACTCGAATTGTTAAATGTTGTAGCGGGTTTACTCTCCAACACACAACCGGTTAGTGCTATACTAGTAAACTACAATATACACTACACTATAATTGTTAAATGTTGTAGCGGGTTTACTCTGCAACACACAACTGGTTAGTGCTGTACTAGTACTACACTATAATTTTAAATTTTGTAGCGGGTTTACTCTCCAACACACAACCGGCTGTATGTACCAAGTAACGAATTGTCCACTTTCGTTTACGTGACAAACCCCTGACTGATGGGCCGAGTCGGGTGGCGGTGAGTTTAACGACGACACAACGTCTTCTTGGTTCTTTCGGTAAAGTCACGTAGAAGGGAAGTAATAAAATAATAAAAATAAAACATAATAAATAATTCTCACGAAGTTTCGGCCACAACGCAAGCAGCCGTCCTCAGGTGAAGAAGCACGCGATCTCACCCAACCAAACAACCTCTGCTGCTCCCCGCTAAACGAGCCCCGCTCGCCTCACTGCGCCTCGCGCGAGTTTGTTGTGCGAGTACAATAATGTCAATATCCTCCTCATCATCATCATCGTCGTCGTCGGCAGCGTCTCGAGGTGGTGAGGAGCCGTCGAGGCCGACTGAAGGGTTCACGAGCAGCGAGAGGAGGGAGGGGGAAACTCCCTCTGAGTTGGCATCCCCCAGTCGCAGTGCCGGTGGCCGCCGCCGCCGCCGCCTCCTCCCCCGCGGCTCCCGCCGTGCCGAGTGCGGCCCGCCGAGAGAGAGAGAGACGCGGGCAGAAGAGCAAGAGGAGGAGGAGGCCGTGGTGCAAGAGGTGGAGGCCGTGGTGCAAGAGGTGGATGAAGAAGCAGGAGACGTCTTCTCTCAGGCGAGGCGAGCGTTCATATTCACCGTCTCCAACTTCTCCTCGAGCTGAGACTCGAGCGGTGCCAGGCGCCCCGTGATGATTGTTACGATGATTGTTACGATGATTAACTCGGCGTGGCTCTGTACAGTACACAGACAAAGATGCCCCCGGGTAGCCTCTGACCGACTGTGGGGAAAGTCGCTGCGAGTGGCGAGGAGCAGCGCCGCCGTGGCCCAGCCCCACGCGCCCGGCCGCCTTTGTCTCCCCCGAGTGGCGATGTTTACTGCACCCCGCACCGCGATGCACTTTTGAGGCTGAGTCGACCTAGGGGGAGGAGGCCCAGGATAATCGTCATCGGTGTTGGCCGTGAGCGGGAATCGAACTCAGGAGGCGGGGTTCGGGTTTGTCATCTGTTTGGCCGAGCGTCCCCTAGGTCGACTCAGCCTCAAATGAGTACCTGGTGTGCAAAAAACCCCATCACAACTGGGGAGACAAAGGCGGCCAGGCGTGGTGCTGCCCCCACCCAGTCGTGTGTCTGCCACAGTGCCGGCCTTGGCAGGCGCTACTTGCTGCTAACAGCACCAATATCATCTGTAACAGGTTTATTTGGGCTGGTTAGATCGCGTAACTATAAATGTGTCGTGAAACCCGCCACCACCCAGCCTGTGTTAAGGCTACACTAGGTAGGGGCCGGGGGGGGGGGATCTTTGTTATAGTCGTGGCCGGGTTTGATGTCTGGTGCCATCAGTCTGGCCGGGACGACAGCTCTCAGACGGGTGGCAAGAAGAACGGCATGGGTACCGTGCAGGAGAAATGACAAATCGACGGCTCTATTTTAGACTAATTTTAGGGTGCTGATTCCAAATCTGATCTCAGATTTGCTCTATCACATCTTATTTTTATGCTATCGGCATACCCCATTTTTATTGATTTTTCCCGAAATGAACTCTGTCACTTATGATTGCATGTTGTTGCGAGTCAGTGACTGCTTTAGTGTTAAAATATGGTGCTGTATTTTTAGGATAGTGCGTTTATAATATAATTTTATGTAGATATCCACATTTATTTAATATTTTTCTTCTGCAGGGCGTAATCTAACAATGGCTACAACATCCGAAAGAAGGAAATGCAGTAATGACCCAGATTTCTTCTGCTACATCTGTGGCAGCTTCACTTTGCAGGATCAAAGGCGAAACATCAATACCTTTGTCAAGAAGGTTTATCTTGCCTACTTTAAAGTACGACTTGGAGACCAAGACAAAAATTGGGCTCCTCACAAAGTGTGTAAAACCTGTGTTGAAACTTTGTGATCATGGTCTAAAGGAAAGAATGCTAAACTGAAGTTTGGTGTGCTAATGGTTTGGAGAGAACTTACTAACCATTTGGATAACTGCTACTTCTGCCTTGTCAATGTAAAATGTTTCAATAAGAAAAACAAACAACACTTACAATACCCAGATATCCCATCTGCCAGACGACCAGTTGAGCACTGTGAGGAAATACCTGTGCCTGTATTTACTGAGCTACCAGAGATTGATGTTGAATCCCTCAGTTTACCTGCTTCTACAGATGATGATGATGATCAGATCGAATATACACCATCTGATGCAGATTGTGATAAAATTTCTCTGTTTAGTCAGCCTGAATTGAATGATCTTGTAAGAGATTTGTATTTTCCAAAGCAGTCTGCTGAATTTTTGGCTTCCAGACTGCAAGAGAAAGGACTACTCAGACCTAGAGAAGCAGCACTGCGAAAGTACTTCCATTCAGATGGTCAACTTGTTTATTGTAATGATGTTGAAGGGCTTCTTCTCAATATGGGACTGCCCGCATATGATTCAAGTGAATGGAGACTTTTTATTGACAGTAGTAAAAGGAGTTTCAAATGTGTTACTTCACAACAGAAATATATATGGTTCAATCCCAATAGGACACTCTGTAAAATGAATGAAGAGTATGCCAACATCAAGATTGTTCTGGATAGATTGGAATACTATGTTCATGGATGGATAATTTGTGTTGATTTGAAAATGGTTAATTTTCTGCTGGGTCAGAAAGGAGGTCACACCAAATACCATTGTTTCCTGTGCTACTGGGACAGTAGGGTTACATTAGAACACTGGGTTAAAAAGAACTGGCCACCAAGAATCAGTTTGACGCCTGGTGACAAGAACATCAAGAATGAGCCTCTGGTTGATAGGAATACAATTGTATTTCCCCCACTGCACATAAAACTTGGGTTAATGAAGCAATTCGTCAAAGCTCTTGATCACACTGGAGACTGCTTCAGCTATATATGTTCAACCTTTTCAAGTCTCAGTGCCGAGAAGAAAAAGGCAGGAATATTTGATGGCCCTCAAAAAAGAACACTCATCAGGGATCCACACTTTGTTACAACAATGACTGCGGCAGAGGCTAGAGCTTGGAATGCATTCTCTGATGTGGTGCGGAATTTCCTTGGGAACAGGAAAGCGGACAACTATCGAGAGGTAAAGTCACGTAGAAGGGAAGTAATAAAATAATAAAAATAAAACATAATAAAACAATTCTCACGACGTTTCGGCCACAACGCAAGCAGCCGTCCTCAGGTGAAAACCAGGTCCGTCGAGGCGACAGAGTCTGAATGAAACAGCACACGGGCTTGGAGCATATATATAAGCTGGGCGCATTGACAAAGGAATTTGCATATCAACAGGAATTTAGCATATTTATGGGAAATGCAGGAATGTAATTAGTACTGCATATGCATGTGCATTATGCAGGATTAACAGCATCAAAGGGAGCTGCAGTTACTGCTGCTGCAGTAGTTGCTGCTGCTGCTGCAGTTTCTGCTGCTGCTGCAGTTGCTGCTGCTGCTGCAGTTGCTGCTGCTACTGCACTTGCTGCTGCTGCTGCACTTGCTGCTGCTGCTGCACTTGCTGCTGCTGCTGCACTTGCTGCTGCTGTTGCACTTGCTGCTGCTGCTGCAGTTGCTGCCTTATCCATTTTAATATAACACTATGTATTATTCTACCCACCCTAATGTGTATCATACTGCTATATGTTTACTGTACAATTACGACACCATACATTACTCTGCACACTGCACCATGCCAGTGAGTGGAACGCGGTCTGAAAGTCACCGTTAACGTGAACACAATCAGTTAAGATCCGAAATGGTTTATTACGTCCTTCCAATGATTGCTAAGCCAGAATCCATCTTCTCGGTTGAAATTGTCTCTGTGTTTGTATATGTGGATCGCCTCATGAACGAATCTCTCATGATAGCCAGATGGCTTGCAGAGAACCTCTGTCTTGGAGAAGTCAATGTCATGTGAGCCCACTGAATTGTAACAGTGATCTGCCACGGCTGAGGTGTTTGTCCTACCGTGTTTCAGGTCTGCCTTATGTTCACGGATGCGGTCCGAGACATGTCGTTTGGTTTCTCCAATGTAGCTGCTACCACAGAGGCAACTTAGTTTGTAGACGCCAGGGTACTGTATGTCTGGAACCACATCTTTTACAGACGGGACCAGATCACGGATTTTATGTACTGTGTTGAATCGGACCTGGATCTTGTGTTTAATCAGGATTTTGGAGATCTTTTTTGTGACCCCAGCAATGTAGGGTAAGGTGATGGTCTTGAAAGGCTCCTCAACAGGATCCTTCTTGATGGTTGGAGTGATGGCTTTGCGGATTTCAAGACCATCACCTTACCCTACATTGCTGGGGTCACAAAAAAGATCTCCAAAATCCTGATTAAACACAAGATCCAGGTCCGATTCAACACAGTACATAAAATCCGTGATCTGGTCCCGTCTGTAAAAGATGTGGTTCCAGACATACAGTACCCTGGCGTCTACAAACTAAGTTGCCTCTGTGGTAGCAGCTACATTGGAGAAACCAAACGACATGTCTCGGACCGCATCCGTGAACATAAGGCAGACCTGAAACACGGTAGGACAAACACCTCAGCCGTGGCAGATCACTGTTACAATTCAGTGGGCTCACATGACATTGACTTCTCCAAGACAGAGGTTCTCTGCAAGCCATCTGGCTATCATGAGAGATTCGTTCATGAGGCGATCCACATATACAAACACAGAGACAATTTCAACCGAGAAGATGGATTCTGGCTTAGCAATCATTGGAAGGACGTAATAAACCATTTCGGATCTTAACTGATTGTGTTCACGTTAACGGTGACTTTCAGACCGCGTTCCACTCACTGGCATGGTGCAGTGTGCAGAGTAATGTATGGTGTCGTAATTGTACAGTAAACATATAGCAGTATGATACACATTAGGGTGGGTAGAATAATACATAGTGTTATATTAAAATGGATAAGGCAGCAACTGCAGCAGCAGCAGCAAGTGCAACAGCAGCAGCAAGTGCAGCAGCAGCAAGTGCAGCAGCAGCAGCAAGTGCAGCAGCAGCAGCAAGTGCAGTAGCAGCAGCAAGTGCAGTAGCAGCAGCAACTGCAGCAGCAGCAGCAACTGCAGCAGCAGCAGAAACTGCAGCAGCAGCAGCAACTACTGCAGCAGCAGTAACTGCAGCTCCCTTTGATGCTGTTAATCCTGCATAATGCACATGCATATGCAGTACTAATTACATTCCTGCATTTCCCATAAATATGCTAAATTCCTGTTGATATGCAAATTCCTTTGTCAATGCGCCCAGCTTATATATATGCTCCAAGCCCGTGTGCTGTTTCATTCAGACTCTGTCGCCTCGACGGACCTGGTTTTCATCTGAGGACGGCTGCTTGCGTTGTGGCCGAAACGTCGTGAGAATTGTTTTATTATGTTTTATTTTTATTATTTTATTACTTCCCTTCTACGTGACTTTACCGAAAGAACCAAGAAGATGAATCCCTGCAGTCACGAAAGCTTTAAATCGAAATTTAACTATCGAGAGATTGTGGAGGAGCTGCTCTTGAGTTTCCAAGCACTTGGATGTATAATGAGCATCAAGGTTCACTACTTACATAGTCACTTGGCCCAGTTTCCAGAGAACATGGGTCACGTGAGCGAAGAGCAAGGTGAACGCTTTCATCAAGACATTAAAGTTATGGAAGAACGTTACCACGTTACCAAGGCCGATGGGACTCAAACATGATGGCAGATTACTGCTGGTCCTTAATGAGAGACATTCCACAAGCTGTACAAATGGAGATCGTCAAAGAAGAGGTCGTTTATGCAGATGTAACATCACTATTATGAATGAACTTTTTGTACATATTTTTCTTATCTTCACAATTAAATTCTTACATGGTAATATGCATTCACTCACATTGATATGCAGTCTCTCTCACAACTTTGTGCTACGGCTCATTAAATGTTTGTTTCATTATTATTGTATATTGTATATTATCTTATTCTTGTATGGATGTCTGTTTAGCTATTCGTATATGAGCATAAATTAGCTGTTTTTATTGAAAATGCAATATTTGACATATCAAAAACCTGATGTGATAGACAAAAACTGATGCCAGATTAGGAATCAGCACCCCAAAATTACCTTAAAACCGTTGGAATACCTTATGCCAGAAAAAGTGTGTTGACCAGTGTAATGGACGTGTCAATGATGACATCTGTCCAGCGGCTGGACGAAGTACGACGTGAGATGAGTGAGTGACAGCGGCGGTAGTAGTGACATGGGGTAGCAGCACTACCAAGTGTAGAGAGTTAGCAACGAAGAAGTGCCTGAGGCCGGCAAGAACCTCAATCCGGCCCTGGGTTTTGGTAGCCTGCTGGAGGCTCCTACCTCCATTCCGAACTCGATAGAGATTCAGCTGCGTGTGTAGTTCATTGGAGCTACAGAAAAAAACACGTGTAGTAGTGCTGTGTTGAAGCCAGTGTTGCTATTGTCTATACAGTACAATATACTGTACAGTTCATCATCGCTTGTCCAGCTTCCAACATTATCCGGTGGTCTCGGGCCGATCCGGCAAAACCGCTCCAAAGGCTGTAACGCAGGCCGGCGATAGTCACCATACGTGTGGCGAAAAGAAAAGTAGCTATGCTTGATTTCAGTGTTAAATATTACATATACAGTCGTACATTATACACTACGTACAACAAACAATGAAAATACTGGACTATATACATCACCTGAGGCAGATTTATCGAGATTGGATTGGTAAGTACGGTATGGTTAAATAAAGTAACTTTTTTTACAGGATATTTATTTTTGTCTTTATATGTTTATTCATGGAAATTTCATATCGCAAATAAATTTAAAACACTTAAAAAAAACATGTATACAACACCTAAAAACATGATGTCATACAAGAATGTGCAAAAACAAGATACTTTAAATAATGATGTGATTATCTGGATAATAGATGATCGACTGTAATACTGTGTATCTAGACTGTGAATAATACCCACAGGAGCTGCAACCATCTTTATCAGTTTTAATCAATTCATGTTTTTTTGGCTCTTGGCGAACAAAAAACCCTCCAAGCAATTAACTGACTGGCACAGAGGTACCCCCGGCCTCCTAAAAGTTAACGGCTACTTTTCCAAGAAGTCAAACCAATGCATTTTAACCCATCCTTCAAAGCAGGAATTAAGGAAGCAGCCAATCAAATTCATTGGGACTCTTGTTTTTGCAGTCATTTTTGAATAAATGTGGTTTATTTACAGGCCGCTGGCTGGATTTAGAACCAAGACCTCAGCTGTACCAGATCAGCCCTTTGTATATACAGTATGTATATTGAAGTTATTTTGTACCGTACGTAGTCAACCGTGCTATAATTGGAGGTGCGGGGGAAGGACAACAAACTTAACACAAACAGCAGTTATAAAAAAAATAGTATTCAATGTCGCTGTAAAAGTGCATAGCTCCAGTGGCTTCCTAATATCGGAAGACAGAGCGTTCCAGACGGCTGCAGAAGCGCATCTGAAAGGGTGTGATGCGGTGACCACCCTCTTTGTTTGATGGCTAAGCCAAAAGCCGCTGCGAGGATGACCGGAGTTCCCGTGATGGTTTATGCTCCTTGACGAGATCAGCAAGGTGTTGTGGTTGATTTGTGGAAAGCATTTTGCGTGTAATGAGTGCGACCTTAGAATGTATTCGTTCAGCAACCGGAAGCCATTGCAGCTCAGCGAGCACTGGACGGACATGGTCAGATTTTGCATTACCCGTCACGACACGTGCCAAACAGTTTTGTAAACGCTGCAGCTTGGTCATGATTTTATCCAGACGTCCCGTCGAGTAGCGAGTTGCAATAATCGAGCCTTGTTGATACGATGCTACATGCCACTGTGCTGACTTATGTCACAACTTAATCGTGGTCGAATTGGTCGTAGAGCCCTGATGTGGAAATTGCAGCACCTGACTATCATTTTGCACGTGGTGACCTCTGAGTCACATGGCCACCTCTACTATCGTTGACTTTATACCAAGTACTGCTGCTTGCAAGGTTCCACTTGATTTATTAAACTCAGAAATATGCGGGGCTTTCTGCCATCGTCTTTATTTAAACTGTCATGATTTAGAGACATTTGCTACAGCCCAAGTTATATCATGGTCAAAGTGAACTTTTTAACAATTGTGTTTCATCCTTAGAACATTTGCCTCTCGCCAATTGGCCGTTGATTTTTATTGAGTTGTGTGTGTCGGATGTGAAAATGTCTTCAGAACTCACCGCAACGATAATGTTTTGTCTTCACCAGGTAGGAGAGAGCATCTGTGCGGCTGGAGAGAGAGAGAGAAGCATGTCAGCCCAGACTGACCCCACACAGCCAGCAACTTCCAGCAAAGCCACCGCGGCGGAGCCCTCGGTGCCAGGGCGGGCAGCGGAGGTATCGCCACGACGGCTCCTCACCCACACACACCCCCACGTGGATCGTGACCGTGGGCCCAAAGTCTGGACACATAAAACGCCGGTGCATTATATTTTGTGCGCACCCAATGAGAGTTGTTCCGAGCGGTGCGCATTTCCATCTGGAAAGGGTGCAGGCTCTTTGGCACGTGTCACCCGCGGGTCCTTGGGATTGTAATTAATAATGGATTGGTATTTTGACTTGGATTAAATAATTGACTGATGGTTTGCTCTTTTGGTAATAAACACAAAGTTACAGCGTACTAGTACGATGGAAACAATAATGGTGCAACAAATAATTGTAAAAAAATTTTCACGTGACTCTTAAACACGGCGAGTTGAACGCTGTCGCCGACCGGAGCATTGGTATCATTTGCCGCTCACCGCTTTCATTCAGCAAGCGTGGACTCCGTGTACTTTGTTGTCACTCGGCAAGTACCCCCCGCCCCACTCTCTCCACCACGGATCTACGTCTGTGTCACGGAAGAACTCCGTGCCGCTGCCATAGAGAATGAACGTTAGGCGACGCGTGGTAATTTAAACGTATTTTGTCCAAATGAACATTGGGACGGGGCTCTATCTGTCGGGGGCGACCCCGAGGCCACCGATGCGAATGACATTTTGTCGACTCCACGGGGATGGTATGCCGAGTGGACCAGCGACTGGGACGTTAATCGGTGACCTTGTGAGTCGAGCACGCTCACCACAGCGTCACCTTGGCATGAATTATTTAAGGCCATTAATTAATTAATTACTACACTTACTGGTCTGGGAATGGACACCGCGGCCAGCTGTTAAAATATTAAATTGCCTAGCAAGCAGAATGTGTTGGTGTATGTTTGATTTACAAGTTTCCGTGATTGCTGATGCAAAAGTAAGTTGAACGGTATCTGAGCGCCTATTTGTTTGTATGTCTGGGGGGGTCCTGAGGAACCCGGGACTCTCTACCCACACAGCAGCAGCTGGTGCTTGACCTACGAGAGGATGTCCACTGAGGATATTGAGCGATGAACTCAGCTGGTGTACAGGCGTCGGGTGCTCTGTATGTGCACTATTTGTTGAACTTCTTTCGCACCGTACATAGTCAACCGTGGTAATCGGAGGAGGAGGAGGAGAAGAAGGAAGGGAGGCTCCGGCAGTGGGGCCGGAGGAGGATGTGAGACCGAGCGATGTTGATGGCGCAAGTGGGCTCACCAAGTCGCAGCTGAAGAGGCAGCGGAAGAAGCAGAAACAGGCCACCAAGGGAAGCGCTCCAGCGGCCGCTGAGAACGCGGACGGGAAGGATGCGGGCGGCCACAGCGGCAGCTCGCCTGCCCTTCCCATCGCCAAGATGGAACGTGTGCCAGTGCAGCAACCTCCGTCATCCCAGGCAGGAGACTTCTCAACCTGTCTACGATTCCTGGCATCTCTTAACATGAATGCGTACCTCGTGTTTACACTTGAGATTTAGTCGTAATCTTTTGAATGTATATGGCACTTTAATGCCTCGGGCAACTGAAATCGCCTGCATCACATCTCATCTCAAACATTCGAAGCGTAACCTCCCCCCACCCCGTGGCAGCTGTCTCTGTGCCACAAAAGGTGACTCAGCACCCAAATATGCAAGTGGGCATTCGTCTGCCAGTAGGGGGGGCAACGATTGGCAATGTGTTAGCCCAGTTCAGTAATTTGTGGGTCATTTTTAGAACTTGGAAAATTTGGACCATAACGCCGACACAATGGCCTATGGTTATTTTTTCTGTTTCAGTATACATTTAGAACAGGTAAGCTGTACACGGTGTACATAGTATCCTGGTTCTGCTTCCAGTAAGGATTTTGGTGACACCAGGGTGTAAAAATATGTATAATAGCTTATTTGGGTAGAAGATATACGTCAAAGCAAACAACTTATGAAATAATACCAAACGCCCTTTTATTTCTAGGAAATTCTTGCCGAGTTGCAAAACTTTTTCAGGAGCGTCCTCTGCATTAAGTTGTTCAGAAAATGTATTTTTAATGAGAGCTTTAAATATGAGAGTATGCTGGAGTACCTGCAGAAAATACATGCAATTGCAGGGATGACACTCCAAAAATCCACACAGACCCGTCAGAAACTATTGTGTATTTTTTTTCAGAGTCTTTGAGAATGATATTTATATTTCACAGCTATCATGTCAAAACTCCCATAGCCACACAGCAGTCTGTTAGGCCTGGTCCAAGTCACTTGACAGCCAGTGTGACTGGCGGGTAGCTGTTAGGCCTGGTCCAACTCACTGTGGACAGCCAGTGTGGCTGGTGGGTAGCTGTTAGGCCTGGTCAAAGTCACTGTGGACAGTGACTAGTGTATGGCTTGCTGCTAAGCCTGGTGGCTGTGTGGGTTTTTTTTCTTTTCTGGTCTCTGGCCGAGCAGTTTGAGTTGGAGCTCGATTGGTGCCGAGAGCAGCTGCAGCTGGGCCTGCACACGCGCAAGGCCTCGCCCAAACAAGGTTTACTCGCACACACCTCGGTCGGCCAATACGAGCACCGCCAAAACCCTGCACCGACGTACCACTGCCAGGCAATCGTTCGCGTATGTATATGTTGAACTTCCTTTGCACAATACATAGCCAACCGTGATAATCGGAGCTGCGAGGTACATTTGTTACAACAGATAAGCAAATATTCCACAACACTTTAGCAAAAATTAATTGATGGATATGGATGGAAAGGGCATAAGCGATAAACGAGCCAGCTCGAGGATGGCATGTGATCTGGCTTTGGCTGTCCATGGCATTCCCCATGCCGGGTCGTGTTGCGTGCATGGAATGAAGTTGTAATCAACTGGCTATCATTTTTTAAAATCATAACACCCTCCACCACCCAGCGTAGCCAAAAAGTAAAAATCCTTTAGTAGTTTTTGCCTGCTGTTAAACATTGGTTTGGAAGGAAGGCCCATAGGTTGATGCACATTTTGAGAGATGGACTTTTGCCTTTGTAACTCACGGTCCTCCATGACTTTGCCAAATGAGTTTCATTATTTGTGCACGCCTACTATGCCCACTGCCCAGAGCTTCCACAACAGGACTGTATTACACGTGCTATTGGTGAGATGTTAACTACCTCGCCTGGTATACAGAAGGTCGTGGGTTCGATCCCGACCCTGACGCCTGTATATTTGGCGTTTACGTGTTTTCTCCGTGGTCGCGTGGATTTTTCTCTGGGTCATCCGGTTTTTCCCTCCACATTTAGAATCAACATCACGCGCTTATAGTATGTGGCCACTATAAATGTTCACTTGATAAGCCACTTCGTTGGGCTATCATTTGTGATAGCCAGGTCGTTTCTACGAAGGGGCTATATGGCTCAGTAATAAAATACAAGTTTTTTTCACTTATTTACAGTGTCAGGCAAAAAATCCCTAGCTTTTCTTTCACCGCATTTTATTGAAACTATGAGTTTGACATAGGGAGCGTTGAGTGGCAAGCCAGATTACATTTTATTGAAACTACGAGTTTGGCATCGGGATTGTTGAGTGGCAAGCCTTGATGACATTTTCTTGGTGAGCAATGATGATGTGCCTGTCGCAAATGCGGATGACATGCTGCGCTCTGGCTTGCATACTGTATGATGTGTTGTTCTTTAGGTCTGCACGCTATAAATACAGCGCGGTGGTCTGCGTTTTAAAAAAAATCATCATGTGACTTCACATCTATATTTTGTCACAGTAGCTTAAGCGGCTCAGACCGTAAGTCTCCCTGGAGAGAAACTGCAAAAGATTAAGGAGTGAAATGTCTGCTTCACAACATCGTGGACTGGAGAAACCCGTCGCAGTCCCCAGAGTGTCCTTGCTTTAGCGCCGAGTTTTTGTCATGGACACGCCACAACCCACAACAATGTAACGAGAATGGGGTTTCTCTCGCCCTGTCTCCCGTGTGCCCAGAATGGAAATGATGCGACGTAAAATAATCCCACGCAAGTGAAACCCAGACTGGTAGCGGACAGGTCACGGACGCTTCCTGTCACAGTGCAATTTGTAGATTTAACACGTCGGCTTTCACGACCAATATTTTGGCATGTTTCGTTTATGTGACAAACCCCTTACTAATTGGCTGTGGTGGCGGGTTAAACGACACATATTTACGCGATCTAACCCAAAAACCTCTATTACGGATAATACAATTTGTAGTTTATAATAATCTTAGAAATGCAGCCACATTTTAAGATGCTGTATTAAACAGTGGAACATGGGCATCTTGGAAAAAGGAGACACCTGGACATATTGGCGGTACACTGGTGCAGCATAACACCGGTCCTCATAAAACTGACATTCATCTTTTGATTTAAAGCGTTCATGACTGCAGGGATTCATATTCTTGGTTCTTTCGGTAAAGTCACATAGAAGGGAAACAATAAAATATTAAAAATATACAACAATAAAATTCTTGTTTTATAAAATATAATACAATAAAATTCTTGTTTTATATTGTTATTATTTTATTGTTTCCCTTCTACGTGACTTTACTGAAAGAACCAAAAATATGACATTCATCTGTTTAACACATAGGCAACTCTTCATAGCATTTACATTATGAGATAATTATGAGATCATGTATATGCTTACCCCGAGCTCTCAATACTCTGATAATGCGCTGTTTTTGAGTTGTACGCCTTTTGGCGTCATCTGGTCCAACACCAGTGGAGACTCTGCTCTAAGAAAAACCGTCTCGGGTGTGGCCCAATCAATTTCAAGTACAGTGCATATCATTATCAGAGTTGTCTCTTTTTGTTTGCATTTTGACTGCTTGTGTTGTGGTTATTGCAAACATGATCCCTTGTATAAAGGTGTCAGTTTTGGTGCCAGATATTATATCTTGCTACTGGCAAAGGAGGTCTCATAAAATAAAGAGAGCTGTTTAGAGAACCGTGATTATATAGGATAAGAGGGGGGAGGAGCCATGGAGTCGGGGGGGGGGGATTAGCTGATTAATAGTTCAGATGAGGGTAAGTATAAGAGAAGTTAAGTAGCCAGGCCATAATGCTATGGGGGGAGGGGGGGAGTATTGGGGCACTTTTGAAACACTGTACGTCAAATTTCTAAGTGATGGTAGTGTATAAAGCTGGGAGTAAAAGACTAAATATGGATAATACATGTAAACTATAAAGCAGCTAAAGTTTAACTTAGTTAATGACATCCTTCAAATGATTGCTCAATTTGAAACCATCCTCTCGGTTGAAGTTATGTCTATGTTTGTATATCTGGATGACTTCATGGACAAATCTTTTGTAGTATCCAGAAGGCTTGCAGAGTACTTGGGTATCGGAGAAGACAATATCATGAGAACCCGCTATATTGTAACAATGATCAGCTACGGCAGAAGAATTGGTCCTACCGTGTTTCAAATCTAACTTTCTGTGTTCGTGAATGCGGTCAGATATATGTCGTTTCGTTTCTCCGATATAACAGTCACCACAAATGCAACTCAGTTTGTAGACACCAGGGGTACTCTAAGTCAGGAATGACATCCTTTACGGATGGGATCAGATCACGGATTTTGTGTACTGTAGTGAATCGGACCTGGATCTTGTGTTTTTTTAGAATTTTGGAAATCTTTTTGGTAACGCCTGCTATGTATGGCAACGTGATGGTTTTGATCGGAGTCTCAGAAGGTTGTTTTTCCACGGTAGGAGAAACAGATTTGCGGATAGTGCGGTCCGAATATCCATTCATCTTCAGGGCCAGGTGTACATGTTCCAATTCACTAGCCTGGTGGTGTTGGTCAGAGAAAAAAACAAAGAGTATGGATCCTTGCAGTCACAAAAACTTCAAATCTCGAATTAATAACCTCTACGGGGAGGAATTCCACTTATTTGTCAGAGCTTTTAACAGACAACGTGACAAAAAGTCACAGCTTATCGAGACGCTAACCTTCCTCAAGAGATGCCGCAACAATAAGGTAATACCCATCGCTTTCACATTCCCATCTGCTGCTGTGTCTTCACCGAACGCTAAACGGATTTTGTTTAAAGCTAGCCTATCACTAATCTCAGAGAGAATAAGATTGCTCCGATTTGAACTCGACAATCTAGACAATATTCTCTTACAATCACATTTAATGTTAACACAAAAAATGTCCCCTTCCGATTGGGACCGTGTTGACAACATGACAGCCTCCTCTGCTAATTCATTGTCAACCAAATTTAAAGCTAACCTGATCGCTAAATTCAACCTCCTTTCAAAGAAGAAGCCAGAACCACACATTACAAAGTTAGATGTCAACAAGATTGTTATTAATCAGAGTAACTTCCCAATTTCTGACAATCTGTACTAGCTAAAGGGCTGAATTTCGCAGTTACCCCTAAACATATCGCAGTGGAGGATAAAATCTCCCATGTCGATGTAGCCCTCAAAGGCTTAGGACACATTAAAACAGACGTTGCTAGAGCTGAAATCGCCACTATCCTCAAAAATGCTAAGAAACCCATGAGCAACATCAGCAAAAGCGAGCACTCTGAACTCGCAAATTTGAAAAAGAGGGATGACATAGTCATCCTCTCGGCCAACAAGGGCAATGCCACTGTCATCATGGATAAAACCACATACAACAACCAAATCCAGGACCTACTCAATGATGGCAGCTACTCCAAAATCAATAGAGATCCGACTAACAGCCTAACTACTAAAACCAACAAGATCATTACCAGTTCGACTTCCCTAATCGAACAAGTCAAACGGCTCTCCCTAAAATCCTCGGCTGCTAGACCGCCCAGACTCTATGGTCTTCCCAAGATCTATAAAGAAGGTACCCCACTACAGCCCATCGTGTCGACGATCAACTCACCTACCTACAAACTAGCCCGTTTCCTATCGGATACCCTGCTTCCCTTTACTGGCAAGACCACGTCAGCAGTACTTAATTTAACTCACTTGGTCTCTCTAGTCAAGGACATTTCACTGTCCTCTGATGATGTCCTCGTCAGTTTTGATGTGGTCTCTCTATTCACCAAGGTTCCAGTGCCTGACACCATGACAATAATTGAAGACTTAGTCCAACATGGACTGAACTCTGATGTCCCTGCGTTGGTTAGGCACTGCCTCACCAACACGTACTTCACCTGGAATGGTACCTTCTACAAACAAAATTAGGGTACCCCTATGGGTTCCCCCGTGTCACCAGTGATAGCCAATGTTTCCATGGATAAATTTCAAACAAATGCCATCCAGACTTCCGCCCTGCGTCCTTCCATGTGGAAGAGATATGTGGATGATACTTTCGTCATTTGGCCACATGGCCTACCAGCATGAACCCATTTCTCGACCACATTAACTCCATACACCCATCCATCAAATTCACCATGGAAGTGGAGAACGATGGCAAGCTACCATTCTTGGATGTTCTGTTTGAGAAAAGGCCCAATGGCTCTTTGGAACATTCTGTCTACAGGAAGACCACCCACACAGATTCCTATCTGAAGTCTGATTCCCACCACCATCTGGCACAAAAGAATT